GATCTCCCGCGACTCGTACCCAAACCTCCGCGCCCTCCGGAACGCCTCCGCCATGAGCCTCCCCGACGACGACGCCGCCTACGCCAAGCTCGAGGAGGGCGACTACGGCTACCTCCTCGATGACGTCCCGCACTTCACGGACTACCTCTCCGATCTCCCCGTGAGCGCCGACACCCCTCCTCTTCCCACTCATCCTTGTCTCGCGCTGGTTGTTCCGCTGCCAGATTCGACGCCTGCGGTGAAAAAAATTGCAGTATGCAGTGCTGCTTGAGATTTTGATGGTTCTTTTGGAGACGCGGATCTCGTGAAAGCTTTAGATTTAGTTCTGCCATTTGTGTGAGGTGGAGCTTTATTTGGATGGTTCCTTTATTTTTGGTGTTTTTGGCGTGTCATGCCGGGGATGGGTTCTGGAATGAGATCCATTTCGGTTGTTCTCAGTTCATTAGCTGGATATTTATCAAACAGAAAAAGTCGCATTAGTGTAGGACAAGTACAGCTTTGGCGATTCGTACCTGCAATTGAGGTTGTGGCGTGGATCTCTTAATTACTTGTGCTTGTAGGTATCTGGATGGAGGTTTGATCTGGTAGAAATAGAATAGAACATAGCTTCACTTTGGAAGTAACTTCTGTTAATTGGCTGGCTGGCTGCCTTCCCTGGCTCCTATAAATCAGCTACATGTGCATCCTTTGAACGTGGAATACGCAACAACTCATTTGTTTGCCTTCAATTATATTCTGAAATGTTGTTTTCAAGGTGATGTCATGGGGGTTAAGCTAATAATTTTCTCGTTTACTGTCCCTGGCAGACTTTTCCTAATCCACTGCAAGATCATCCAGCCTATTCGACCGTCAAGTAAGGCTTCTCTTTCGGTTTGACTTTGCTATCCCCTTTGGTCAACCTCGTCATATTTATTGTGAAATGTTTTAAGCTAAATGTTCTCTTTGTACATTTACCAGGCAGTATTTTGTCAATGCAGATGATACTGTACCTGAAAAGGTGAAAAAAAAAAGTCTCCACTGATGTTTTGATGTGTAGACGTAATTCTGAATGATACTCACCCTGATGTTTTGCCATCACAGGTGGTTGTTCAGAAGGACAGTCCCAGAGGAGTTCACTTCCGTCGTGCTGGGCCTCGTCAGAGGGTAGGATGCCTTGGATATATGCCTATTATCATTTAGGGGCATGCATTACCCACATTTAGGCTGACACAAATTCTCAAATCTTATCAGGTGTACTTCGAGTCAGAAGATGTCAAAGCATGCATTGTAACCTGCGGAGGCCTTTGCCCTGGGCTAAATACGGTCATTAGAGAGTTGGTGTGCGGCTTGTCCCACATGTACAATGTCAATGATATCTTCGGCATACAGGTTTGAAATATTTCCAGCTGACCTAAATACCAAAATGTATTATGTGGAATATCACTTAGTAGGAATTTTGAATGGCGTGTTCTGCTGACCTATAATGAGGAAATGATTTCAATTGTATTATACTCAAATAGTTGCAAGTGCGATCTGTGAATTGTATTATATTTTTGTGCAAACGACTAATGTGAAATTTGTGCCAGCTAGTAGTTTTGCCATGAGAGTAAAAGACTGTAGCATGCACATTGGTGATGCCAATTTTTTAACTGCACCTTTCCTCTTATTTCTAACATGCTATAAGTAATTCTGTAGAATGGATACAAGGGATTCTATTCGAGTAATTATCTTCCTATGACACCTAAAAGTGTCAATGATATCCACAAAAGAGGTGGCACAGTTCTGGGAACATCACGGGGTGGTCATGACACCAAAAAAATTGTTGACAACATTCAAGATCGTGGTATTAATCAGGTAGGTGTTGTAACTATTTTTCTTAGTATAATAATCCTTATTTTGAATTTTGGGTAAAATATGCCTGTGTACTTTGTCTAGGTATACATCATTGGAGGGGATGGAACTCAGAAGGGAGCATATGAAATATATAAGGTAATCACTATCATGAGTAACTTCCATATCTTGTAGAGACCTCCAGACATTGTCAAACTTCTTCATCTGTTCATGTGCACTCTGGCAGCAGGAATTTGTTGAGTGGTGTGCATTTGGCTTAAAAATTGTTGTATGTGCAGTGTGCATATCATTAGAAACTGAGGGAAAATATTGTTGGAGTTTTGTTTTTCAGAACTGATTTTTAATTTGATTTTTCCCTTTTTCAATTGGCAGGAAATTCGTAGACGTGGTCTAAAAGTTGCTGTTGCTGGTGTTCCCAAGACAATTGATAATGATATAGCGGTAATTTATGATTACAAGCGTTTATTTTTGCCTGCAAAGAAGCATTACAACTCTTTTGATACTGCACAATTTTTCTATTAAAGAAGTACTGATTTTTTCTGTACATTAAAACTCAGGTTATAGACAAGTCCTTTGGTTTTGATAGTGCTGTAGAAGAGGCCCAGCGTGCCATTGATGCAGCTCATGTTGAGGCTTCAAGTGCTGAGAATGGAATAGGCTTAGTTAAACTGATGGGTCGCTATAGTGGTTAGTTTTCTATATCAGCCCCATATACGTCTTTGCTGCAGCTGCATTCTTACATTTCTCTGCTCCCTTGTTTCTTTAATGCTTTAATTGGATAAATATGCACGTAAAACTAAGAGAACTATATTTTGCTTATATACTCTAATTCAAGAGAACTGTTCATGAAATGTTTATTTTCTGCCTACAGAATGGAATTCACATATTCCTCATGTGAATCCATGATGAATTTCTAACTTTTTTGTTTTAGTTATTTCATTATACTGTCCTTATTCCTTTTCTATGGTACCTTGCAGGGTTTATTGCAATGTATGCTACTCTTGCAAGCAGAGACGTGGTAAGTTAATGCTTTATATCTATGTCGTTCTTTAGTTTCTTCGAGTCAAATATTCTGTGTATTCATGTTCTGGGTGCAGTAATGCATTGGACCACCTAGCATTCTTCTTCTCCACGAATGGTACCTCCTATTCATTGGGTTTCTCTGTCTTCTATAGGACTGCTGCTTAATTCCTGAGTCACCATTTTATTTGGAAGGGGAGGGTGGACTGTTTGAGTACATAGAGAAGAGGTTGAAAGAGAACAACCACATGGTTATTGTTGTAGCTGAGGGAGCAGGACAGGATCTTATTGCCAAAAGTATAGCTGCAGCAGATCAAATAGATGCATCTGGAAATAAGCTACTTCTTGATGTTGGTCTTTGGCTGACTCACAAGATTAAGGTATGCACTGTCTATTTACTTGAGTTTGCATGGGACTGATCCAGTTCGATTTTGCATTTTGTTGATAGTGTTGCTTCACATGCGCTTTATGCATTCATCTTTTAAATTTCCACTAAAACTGCAAGAATGCTTGCTGAACACCAATGCATGTGGTATTTGCTTTTGGGTTTGGAAATATACCATAGGAAAGGTAGAAATTCATACCTAAGAGCAGCATTACATTAAACAATTTTAACTATAAAAGCCATACTTTTTATATGTTCGCCTGTTAAAAGCGATGCTTTTTATATGCTCACCTGTTAATCAATAGAAGTAAGTGTAGGTTGAGGTTTACGTTTTGTCAGTTCGATGTTCAATCACAGTTAACATATTTAGCCAGCTGTATCTTTATGTGAGTGTGGTCCTGTTCACGGATTGCATTCATCTCTTGTATGTATGTTCTGTAATTCATAATAGATTAGGTGCATGCGTATGTAAAGCTTACATGGCTCTGTGCTCAGTGGGTCAGCTGCCTCGGTGTTGAGCCATACATTGATTTTGTACAGTGTTAGTATCTCAGTGACCCATTATGTTTGTAGTTGCTATTTTTAGTATCTTATGGATTTCCAGGATATCATAACCAATTAATTAATTACAAGTTTCCTTGAAGATTTCTCTGAGATTTTTTTTTTGCATGAATTCCTTCCAGGATTACTGCAAGAACAAAAAGATGGAGATGACTATTAAGTATATAGGTAAAGATCTTGTTTTTATGTTCAATTCTCGATGCACATGCGGAGTGCTAGTTTGAAGTACTACTTTTTATATGTATCTGAGTATCTCCCTATGGAATGTTGCAATAACAGCCTGTTATTTCTAATGGCAGATCCAACCTACATGATCCGTGCAATTCCAAGCAATGCATCAGACAATGTCTACTGCACACTGCTGGCGCACAGTGCCATTCATGGGGCAATGGCTGGATATAGCTTCACAGTTGGAATGGTCAATGGCAGGCATGCATACATTCCATTTCACGTGAGTACAAATTTTTGTATTACCTTAATTTTCTCCGGTTCCCAGATTCAAACATATTACCCTCAACAATTATCATGAATTAAATATTACCCTTTAACAGTTCGCATGACATCAATTTTTGTGTTCTGACAAACAGAGGGTAACATCAACAAGAAACAAGGTTAAGATAACCGACAGGATGTGGGCAAGGCTGTTGTCCTCGACCAACCAGCCCAGCTTCCTGAGCCAGAAGGACATCGATGCCGCAAGAGAGGCTGATAAGCTAGCCAGCAAATCGCCTGTGCCAGTTAACACCAAGGAGCACGGAGAGAATGTAAAGAAGCCGGCAAATGGTGAGAAATAGCATGCCTTTGATGATTCTTTACCTGTACAGTAGCTACGCTATTCGGCTGAGGCCATGAACCGATCCTACTCAATTTTTGTTTTCGCGGTTCATCTCCGATGCGTTGCAATGGATACACGCGAAAAGGATCTTGATCGTCTACGTAATAAAAAACACCACCTCATATTTTTGTATCAGAGAACATGTGTGTAGCACTACGCACTTTGCAAGAGTTCTGCCTATTATTTCGGTAAGAGAACTTCTTGATTTTTGTGTTCTGCAACCATTACTTTTTCTCTGAAGCTAAGTTTGTTTTCCTTAAAAAAGGAAAGTAAACAAAGATAAGAATAGAAGAGAAGCTTGCCATGTTTTTTTCAAATGGCCGTTTAATTGAAGATGGTCGTGGGCTCGTGGCCAACTCGGCAACTACTTCCCAGCTGTTGCATTTGTTCATCGGAAAATTGTTGATGATCCAACCATGAGCCTGGCACGTCAAACTTTGGCCGTTGACGGAAATCTGCTCCCGCCTCCCATAGAAACCACGGATGCCTCCTCGCGCGCGGCGCGAAATCACGAGTTCACGACTACACGAGGGCCTTGTGGTCACCGTCGCCGGCCACCGCGCGCGCGATCTCTCTTTTTTCCAGCCGCCGTCCATGCTTCTCCTCGCGCCGTTGCTTCTTCAGCCGAAGAAGCGTCACGATTCTTACTTCTGCGCAGTTGATATGCAGTAGTTTGGCCCTCACATGCTCTATCTTTCTCATTTCCTCGATCGCTCACGCTGTTACTCTTTTCCATGCATGCGTGCGACCAGGAGAAGGCTCCAGCGACGCCGTCGTCCAAGAGCCGTTCGCCACCACGCCTACTTCGCCGGCTGCCCTCGCCGCCGGCGCCGTGTCGAATCCGGCGCTAACACCAGCAGCAGTGTCCATGTCCTTCTACGACGTGAACGCTGGCGAGCAGCCGAGCCGAGAGGACGAAGCCCCGGAGGAGGTGGTAGAGGCCGCTGTGGCGAACGGAGCACCGACGGCCGTGGAGAAGCATAATAAGCTGTACTCTCCCGCAGAAACGCCGGCGGGGAGTGGGACGCGGCCGCACCCAACCGCGGACGCCGTCGCCGAGACGGCGGGGGCGGCGCCCGATGACGTCGACGGGTGCACGACGCCGCCGCCGCCGCCGGTGCACGACTCGGAGGGGTCCGACACGCAGAGCGCGGACGATCACGGCAGCCCACAGAGGGAGAAGCCAAGGACGACATCGACGGCCGGGGGCGTGAAGCGGGACGTGGCTCCCTCCTGGTCGTCGAGGCTGCTCGCGTTCCGGTCGTTCTCGCGGGACAAGAAGGCGAAGGCAACCGTGGACGCGCGGCCGCCGGCGCACGGCAAGGCGCGGGATGAGGGCGATGAGCACAAGGAGAAGGGCAAGGAGAGGCGGAAACGGTTTTGGAAGTGAAGGTGGCATTGATGCATGCACAGTTGATTTTCTTTGATTGATTTGTTTGCACTCCATGAAATAAGTGAGGGCTGTGATAGTGTAATTGTGATATTACAGAGTACTAATATATAATCATTCTTTGATGCAATCCGTGTTTTGTAATCCTAAGCCTTTTTCCACTGGTTTGGTTGCAGCTATGTTACTCTTTGAACACATGTCTGGCGGAATACCAGAACGAATCATGAACACGGCATTCTAGACGAATATATCGCAGTGAAACTCGGAGAATTGCTCTTGCCTTCTCGCTAGAGGTGAGTACCGAGTAGAACGGTCGATTCGTGGAAGCGCTATCCCGCGTAACAGCGCCAATGACCAGCGTGTGTCGTCCTTCGCTTTCACTTTTCCTTTCCCCTCCCCAGCATACATGTGTAGTGCTCGATCAGGTCGCCAGCGACCAGCCTGATCAAGGCTGCAGGATATGAAGGTCACTCGTCGCTGGACAAGATGACAGTATAGAATTTCTACTTTTCATGATGGTGCAGGGGGTAGTAGAATTAATCTCCGAACCTCGCCAGCCAAGAGCGCGGCTAACTGAAAGTCTGAAAATCAATCAAGCCTCAGAGTCACACTGGCACCCCACCCCACGCCGTGATGACTACCTTCCCGTCCCCACCACCTCCTCCTACTCCGGCGAAGCGGCTGCGCGACAGCGCGAGGAGAACCCGTCCGCCGGCACGGCACGCGCGCTCGCTCACCGGGAGCGTGGCGGATCGAAGCGGAAGCGTGCTGCCATGATGTGGTGGGTGTCAGCGGCACAAAAACGGTATGGGCATTTGCAAATTTGCCACCTGTTTTTTCAATATTGCAAGGATACCACTCGAATGATAATTCTAGTGGTATTTTTATAATTTTCTAGTGGCAGTTTTGTAATAACGATTTGTAGTAAATTTGCAATTGCCTATGGTATTTGACGATGGGTTGGGGGTTCAGGGAATTGAACTCCGACCCCACAAGATTGATTTACTACGAGTACATGTTAAGGATGGTTGGGTGTTGGGGGAAACTTCGACCCCCACTATGTTATGAGAATAGGGCATGATTGATTTGATTTGATTTACTCTAATTTGATGCAATTCTTTCATGTTAAGATGGTTGGGATTGGGGAATCAAACTTCGACTAGGTTGTGACATGCATTGTGCACAATTGATTTTCTCTGCTTTGATGCAATCCTATTATGTTAAGGATGGTTGGTTTGATTTGACAATTCATTTGAGACTAATCGCAATAAAATTTGTGTTAGGACCAATCGACCAAGTATAGCCTGATCAATTACAGTGGCATATTGTTCAAATATATCTTACATTAAACAGCTAAAACATATAAAACCCTTCTCCAGCAGGCGAAGGCTAGCCCCCCTCCCCCCCAAAAAAAAAAAGAAGAGAGAGAGAGAGAGAGCCAGGGCCACGCCATGAAGGGCGAGAAACCAACACTTATCAAGCCAATAAGTTGGAACTCCGTTACTTTGATCCATACTTGGTGGACAACGTTAGCTAGTACCTCAGAGATGCCTAGGAAAAGAGTCTCCTCCGTGTTGCTTAGGAGATATGGAAATATTTGATCCATACTTGGTGGACAATGTTGGCTAGTACCTCAAAGATGACTAGGAAAAGAGTCTCCACCGTGTTGCTTAGGAGATATGGAAAGAAAGATATGACAACGTTGGCCAGTACCTTAGAGATGACTAAGAAAAGAGTCTCCACCGTCCGTGTTGCTTAGGAGATATGGAAAGAAAGGAATCAGAGTGTTTCAACATTTTTTTTAAAAGTTTTTTTACCCGACTTCTATATCCAACCAGATATATTCAGTTTTTTTTTAAAAAAATAGGAACTTAGTTACGGAGATTTGAACTCAGGACCTTGGGGTGCCTTTTTTTTTTTTTTAAGTTAAGAACGATTTGAACTCAGAACCTTCGGATGCTACTTAAGTCACTGCAACCACTAGGCTACATGCTCTTTCACAGAGTGTTTCAACATAAAGAACTCTTAGCACGGTCCCTAGCGGCGAAAATTAGGAAGGCGGGCAAATCTTGGGTCTTGGCAGTAGCCAAACACAGATCATCCCTAGTATTTTTCTTTCTGTAAAGTTTTGGCTTTGGTACAGTTTTTTTTTCCCGCTGTATCAATGAAAAGGGCACACCAAGTACTGTTTCGCTAAAAAAAACATTTGCCACTGCCAGCATCCAGAATGCTTTGCGTTATTCATTTTTCAAAATTCATATGAGCGTGTATCACACATAATTGATGAACCCTTTTTACAATTGCTACCATGGCATTGGTTCTTTACTCATGTACACAAAACATATCCATTTCGCCATAAGTAAAAAAATATTAATGCCTCAAGGGCAGAGAAGATGCTGGTTAGTTGGCAACACGTCTCCTGATCATCGCACAGAGTTTGGTAGCTATATACACGTTTACTCTTATAGGCATGGAGCTGTACGAATGCTCCAAGAAGTACTCTGCAAGAACCATAGAACAAAAGACATATCCTGGATAAAAATCACTTAAAGCTTCCAAACTGTTGGTGCTGAAAATGACCGCTTCCACTGGATGTTTCTGTTTTAGATGGAAAACTAGAACTGACAAGGCCTGGTGCTGTGCCCATCGTCGCCCCCGGGCCTTTATCCTCAGATCCGCCGCTCAGCGGTCCGACAATCCCAACATCGGAGAGATCGACCTTCTTTTGTGCTGCATATTACAACAATACAGTATGAGCTATGATGCGTCTTCCTTTTTAGCACCTAGGATAATTAGCCTTTTGAGTTGTGCTTGATGACCCTTCCTATTCTTATGCTTGTGTTTTATTGTAAGGATACTAATAATCTAATATACAGTTCACTAGGAATCTTTTACTTTTATAGAGGCCGAATTTCTATCCATTATCTAAAATGAATTGAACCTTGCAAATTCGGACATACATATTACAATTTATGTTTGCTACTTTGCATCTACCGAACTTGAACTACATGCATGACAGGAAAAAGTGCAAAAATACTTACACGAAGTTATATTCAAATCAATCAATCCTCGGCTCAAAGAGTCAGCCCATATGCCAGATTTGACCTGAAAAGTTTCTTTCTTTGCAACTGATTTTGATGCTGACATCGAGTCCTGCCCAAGCTTTTTGATGGGCTTATTCATGGACTCAGTTGCACTTGTTGTGGAAGATCCCAAGTGTGAAGTGAAGGCATCAAAATTGGCATCCTCCAAAGGACCATGGTCAGAACTTTTGGGACCCCCAGAAGAATCCCGTGGCAGTTCAGTAATGTTTGAGGCTGTGTTCGAAGAAAATGTTCCAAAAGATTCGGATCCATCAAAACTCTTCAGTGGAATTGCAGCAAAAGGATCAAAAGCTGCTGTACTTGAATGTTCTGGTGTGGGAGTTTTTCCTTGAGAAGATTTGCTTGTCGGATCATGAACTGAGAACTCTGAATCTGAAGGAAATGAGGTGGCAAAAGATTGTTTGAAGGGATCAAAAGCAGAAGTAGAAGGATGCACAACGGAAGACATTTTTTTCTCCGATGACTTGTTAGGACTACCGCGTACTGAGAACTCTGTGTCTGAAGTAAATGAATCAGCAGAAGACAGTCTGCCAGCAAACAAATCAATTTTGTCCTACATTGAAATTTGAAAATAAATAATGAGTTGTAGAATAATGAACTCATGTATTTCGAATTCCCCAAGTATTTTATTTGAAAATACATGGACGGAAACATATAATGAATGAAGTTTCAAGTTTCAACAATATAGTTCATGCAAATTATGAATCTTAAGGGGGGTATTTTTCCACTTTCTTGGTAACATATTTGAGTAAGTAGTTCTCACAGACATTTAGGGATATGAAAAATGAATCATGGTAAAAAAAAGGCTATTAGTAAAGTATAAACCTGAGTGTGAGAAACCGTTGCTGCCTCCAATGGAGCATTGGCTGATTGGAAAGCTGCATCTGCAAATAAATCAACCTCTGGCACAGCAGGTGTGCTAACATTTGGCGTTGCTGTTGAAGTGGATGTAGTAGAATCAACAAGATCATCCATCAAGCTTGGACCAAAGAGATCCAGGTGATTAGATCTTGTGGTACCTGTTCCAGCTGAGTTCCAAACATACAGCCAAGTGAATTTCCAGATGGCAACATGATGACTATGGTCAAACAAGAATAAATCCTTAGAACTTTACGTGTGCAACAAAAAGGTAAACCATTGTAATCATAAATGCAAATGAATATTTAAGATACTGCAGATAAATACTTACTAGATGTAGAAAATCCTCGTGGGTTGAAATCATCATCATCCTCATTTTCCCCTTTCTTTGAGCTTGGGGCTTCAGATGTGGTGCTAATATTTGCAGATAACTTCGAGTGTAATGTTAAGGAATTTTGATTTCTTTCATGCACACAGTAAAAGTATCAGATTTAGTAACTTAAGATTGGATTCCAAAGTCATTGCTCAATAACTTGATAATTTCAAGGCACCACTACTATCTATTGTTGATGGTAAAACCTGAAAAAGACGGAGTAGAACTGGGAGGTACCTTCTACCATGCCTTTCACTCTTTTTTGACTTATAACTGGTTGCACTGTTAGTAATTTCTTTAGACCCTTCTCTATTGCTGCTGTAGTTTGACACTGTTTCCTTCTTGTTCTTTTTCCATTCTGTGCCTGTGTGTATATCCTTGAATGATCCCACCTCCCTTGAACCTCCTGTGCTCCCATAGTGGCTACCAGATGAGTAGCTGCCACTGCCAAATGATGCTGCGCTCGATTTGTGCGTTATTCCAGTTGATGATAAGCCAAAATACCTAGACCAATGGTTCATGAAAAGAAGTAAGCATCAAATGTACAAGAAATGCAATAATGTCGCTAATGGGCTACAGAATGTCTTACTTGTCTCTAGTAACGGCAGCCTTCTCTCTGACCTCTTGAAGCTTCTCCCTGTCATCCAAAATTGCTAGAACAGCTTCAGCCTTCTTACGCACATTGAGCCCAACATCTTTTCCATTAGGCTCCAAATACTCAAATCTTGTGAGTTTCTTCCCAAAAGAAATCAGCATCAGACGACAAGTACTATAAACAATGAAATATCAATGTCTAGAAAAACTAGCGAAGGACCCATACTGCAATTCGTGAGCTATTGTCAACAATGCCATCAGCTGCACGTTCGGTGCCATTAGCTAGAAGGTACTCGATCACAGCCAACGCCTGTAATGATTGAAACATCCTGTTATTAAGGAATCAATCCAAACAGCACATCACTGCACAATCAATCCTATCTTATTACCTTATACACGTGACGCCAATTCGCAAGTGTGTTCCCCAGGCGTTGCCATAACACATTCATTATAATTTCGCTATCACCGCTGGAAAAGAAACAAGAAAGCAATGGGATTATGCGAACAATCAAAATGTGCAACGCCCCCAAGTCGTAAACTGAAACACGCTAGATTCTCATAAACAAATGGGAAATAAGTTCTGATTTTTTTTTTTAGCTTTGAGCTACTCACTAGCTCTTGGTGGCCCTGGCGATATCTGCCAAATCGGAACCATGCGGCCCCCACGGCTCGTCGCTGGTGGCATCAAGAACCTGCATACGAGATCGGGGAAAAAACTTCAATCGCCAATCACAAAATCCAGGTAAATAGCAAACCATCTGACCACCCAAAATTCCAAATTTTGACTCTTGACGGCAAAATCGAAAGAAATTTTGACCTTCTGCTCGATTTCCGGCACCTTGAGCACCTTAAGATTTACCTCCCTCCTTCTGAAAGTACAAGAAGAAAAATATCTTTACAAGATAGGAGTACACCAGGAGGAGAAAAGGGGCGGAGAAGGAGAAATAAAAATTCTGATTCTTACATCTCCCGGACGGTCTGGTCGAGCACCTTCCTGAAATCCATGCCGGGAGAGACGAGATCGGACCAAGAAGAGAGCTACGATCGCGGCCACAGATCGATCGAGTTGCTTCGGCTATCCACTATCCCCCCGCGCGCGTGTTCTTCTTCCTCTCCTAGCCTCCTAGGGCTCCGTGCAGGATGCGCGGGGAAGGCCAGGCGAGGCGGGGCGACGCGTAGGGCGGAGGAGAGAGGAAGATGGCGCCGCGGAATAACGACGAGCGCGCGGGCCGGTCGCACGTGTCATCAAGATACGACGACTACGACTCCTTCCTCAAGTCCATGGTCTTGGGCCGCTCGAGCCCATGGTCTTCTCAAACCCATGGGCCAAGCAGGCAACCAGCGGTTTGGGCCTCTCTTCGCTTCCCCCACGAGATTGCTAGCGCCTCGCCTAGCACACAGCCACACTTCTTTTCCCTTTCATAGCACTTATTTAATATGAAAATTTCAACTTAAATCATAAAACTTCCAACTCAAATCATATGAAACTTTCAACTGTGGTCTCCCCTTTCATCTTGACTTTTAAAAAATCAACTCAAAATGTAAAAAAAACTTTAATATGAAAGCAATATTGACCATCATGGCATTGGCATCATATACTAGTTTCGCCGTGCGTGGCCCAACTAGTTACGCCATTACCTACCTCCAACCTTTTCTTTTTCTTGTTCTTTGTATAAGAACATAGTATATGCATTGGCAGCGTTAAGTTCCAATTGAAAATCGAATGCATGTTCAAAAACAAAAAAAAACCAAAAATGTTGATAATGATAAGTGTAATGACTTTGGAAAGCAAGAGATATGTAAGCTACATCAGTAATTACGGCTAAAATTTCCAGTGGAGCCCATCATGGTCAAACAACCAGGGCAATATGTCAGCAATATGCTGAACCTTCGGACAACGGCATCTAAGCACTATACATAGGTGGCACGAATTGGTCCATAAGGGGAGAAATCAGAATCGCCTGTCACCTTTGCAGACGAGGGGACGGCATTGAAGTTAGTTGCCCTCTGTTGTGGCTGGGTTTTCTTGTTCAGCATCTACTATGACATCCGTGCCCTGTTCTGGGGTAGATGAGCCAGTAACTTGGGTGGCTGGATCGACATTTTCATTGACTGCCTCTGCTACTTCACAATTCTCCAACAGCGCCTGAGCTGACGTGCTGGATGAGAGCACATTGTTGGAATCATTGTGATCCACATACATAGGTTCCACCATTAGTTCAATCTGGCCCATTTCGTTAGGATTTTCCAGATGTCCATCTTGATCAACACTAGTGCTTTGCTGTGGGATTGCAGAGCCTGGAGCAGGAGTGGCTGTATCACACTCATCGATGGCTGGTGTAGCTGAGTGACTGTGTTCCTCCAACTCCAGTGAAGGACATGGGCAGATGACATTGTTGAAACCATTATCCTCCTCATCCATAGGCTCGAGGGTCATTGTTGCATCATCCACCATGTGAAGCTCTTCCTCTTCCTGATGCTGAGCTTCTTGATCGGCATGAACAATGTTCTGTTCAGCTTCTAGCAAAAGTAGTCTTGAGCGGCAGCTGATTCAACATGTGGACTAGTAGCGGAACCACCATTTTCCTTGATCTCGCCAAGGTCATGGAGAACATCCTGAAAGCCATGCAGAAACTCAAAGACCAAGGCTTGTTTGGTTGTATCAGCTGTGGATGTCATGGCCATCTTGGCCTTCTTTACCATACCGTGCAGTTTATCAACCTACAACAATCAGCAGACCCTTCGAGTTAAATATATTAGTTAAATTATGCATGGAGTGATTGTAAAAACTATTTGAAGTCTCGCAAAGACAACTTATATCTGACACAAATTTAGGTCCAATCAACTACAGAAACTGCATAGGAACTGAATAGATAATATAGGCTTACTGCTTTGCGGATCATAGGAGCCTTGGCTTGATACTGCAGATCAATGGAATCATCAGGCTGTAATGAAGGTCCTGCTTCCACATCATCACTGATTGATGGTACAAGATACCGCCGTGTAACTCCTGAGTACCAATGCAGGTACTCCTCATAAGACGATGGGTCATACTGCTCTGACTCTGGAAATATGCGCTGCCGGCGGGCTTCCCATTCCTGAATGTACTCATGATGTGTCTCTTCCCAGTTCTCACGTTCTCTGCCACGTCGACTAATACGATGCAGCGCCTGTAGGGTAGGTCGAAAAGGTGGTGGAATGGATTGGCGAAGCCCAAATTGCCGCATCACTCGCTCAGGCAAATACATCTCGACTATAGGAAAATTTATTAGTGGAGCTTGTGTAAGCCACAAATCTGCATCTTTTGTACAAAGCAATGGCAAGCTTGAAGACTCAATGTGCAAGTAGGGCTCCCACTTCACCTGATCAGCTCGCTGCAGGTTCAGTTCATCCCTGTACTGCTTAAGACAGCGTGTAGCATTCTCACTTTGTGTGCGCGCACCTACCCAACGAAAGCCAACAGGGGGCAAATCCTGTGGAATGTCTGTCTCTGGGCACAGGGGAGACCGGACCAATGGTCTGCCAACATGGGAGCGCTCCCAGCTCCAAAGCTGCAAGAGAAGCAATGAACCACCAATGTTCTTGATATTGTGGGAGGAAGCAACAGAACAAAGAGAACGGTATAGGAAGGCCAGCACTGCAGATCCCCAGCTGTATGTCCCAACACGAGAAAGATCAGCAATCAGTGGAAGATATATCAGACTCATCCGTCCTGTTCCATCTGGAAATAGCACCCCACATAAAAGGCTCAGGATATATGCTCGAACGTGCCTCTCCACAGTCTGATCATCTGCTCCTTCTGGTAATTCATAGAAATGCTTCTTCAGCCATTTGTAGTGCAGAAAAGATTTTCCAGGCATTGATGGTCCTCTTGGATCATGACCTAGACAATCAATGACCATCTGCGCATAATCATGATCAGTGGTAGAACAAACTGGACGGCCATCAATAGGAAGAGCTAACAACATTGCTACATCTTGTAGTGTAACTGCCATCTCCCCAGAAGCCAAGTGAAAACTATGAGTTTCTGGTCTCCAACGCTCAACAAGGGCAGTGATCAATGCCTTGTCCAATTGAGGCATCTTCTGGCAAATTTGTGAGAGCCCAAGAAGGCCAGCATCCCTCAAATAAGGACGGTATCTCTCATGAAATTTTAAAGGTTTGTGATGTCGCAACTTCAACTGCTCCACAGCCTGCAAAAAACATGACCTCAGTGGCACTGCGAAGTTTATTCTGCCTACAATAACTTGTTTACTTATGCAACTATGACAAAACTTAATTGCTCTTGGATTAACCTGATCACCGAAGATTGCATCCGATCGGTGGTTGATCTTAGGGTTGAGTAACGTGTTGGATACATGCTCTGCTGCTGGGCTTACAAGACAAGGTTGCTGCGAAGTGAACTCAATATTGTCCTCTTTATCAGAAGTAGTGCTCGGGGAAGAAGGTGCAGAGGTTTCATGAAAGTCCATATCATTTTCTGCCAAAGCACTTCTCCCACGGCCACGGCCACGACCACGGCGGCCACCACCTCCTCTCCTTGAAGACATGGTCTTGTACTGTTCCTGTTTTGAAAAATTCATAAGACCAGTCAGAGGAAACAGCACAGACGTTGACAGTAAAAAAAAACATAAACATGTGTTGAGAAGTTAGACAAGGCTTAAGCCCTGAAGTATGCAATGTGTGTGATCATTTTAGTAGCAGGTCCGAAGTTTTAAGAAATGCAGAGGGGTCTCTCCACTAACCTGATCGCCAGAAAAAGGAGAAAAGGGGAAAAAAAAAGAAAACATGGCTATTCCTCTTTATGACTCGCTTGGAAAAGAGAAAATTCACATGAATTTGACAACAATCATTTCAATTCGAGCGTTCCAGACGAACCTACATCGATGAACTTGCTATATTGATCTAAACATCTAATGATCTACATACCCATGTCACAAACCAAAACACACAGTGGCTTCCATTTTTAAACTACGATTTTCCAGTGACAGCCAATGAACAGAGACTTGAGAGTGAGAATCTACGGGAAGATGACATTAGAGGACTACCTACACCCGTGCCGAGACGCGCCCTTGAGAACTAGGTGCCTGGCTCTAGCAAAATTTGGGTTCGCTGGCGGCGCGCCCACGGCTCCGTCCCCCCTGCCCCCCCTCCCGCCAGTCTGGCTCGCCGGCTTGCTACGCCCGCGGCTCGCCCCTCCCGCCACACGGCCACGGAAATCCGGCGGGCCGGCGGCGGCCGACGGGGAGACAAGCTATAGATCTTCGCTTTCTGGGAGGGGAAGAGTGAGCCCTAGAATCTGCTTTCCTGGGGAGGAGGCGGCGAGGCGTAAGCCGTAACCCTAGGCGTAACCCATGCGGGATAGACTTTGTGCTTTTGATGTATCGATAGCAGCTTCGTGCTTCCGGCTCGATACCACTGGCACTCCTCCTGTCAGCGCAACGACGGCCCATATAGCCATAACCCCAGAGGCCCATACAATGCGCGCTACAGCCGCATTGAGGCCCAACACTTTTTGCTCTGGTTCAGGCGCCGGGAATTTCACAGCACAGCATCTCTAGGCCGAAGGTAGACCGGTGATAATTTTTTTTTATAGATAATGGTAGACCGGTGATAATATTTGCATGCAGTACTTGTAGTCAAAACACTTCTTTTGTATTCATTGAAGTTGAGCTGTCGATTCTTAGTGAAATGTGTGAATATTACGGCAGCACTCAAAATTCCTTTTTAGGCTTTTAGCTCATATGTACCTTACGGTGCCTAGGATTACAAATGGCTAACTGGATAAGAAGAGCGATGTGTAGAGCTCCGTTGTGTTTTTTTTATGAAGATTGGACAAAACTCACATGACTGAAGTTATGAGGGCGTGAGGCCAAACTTCGATCGAGGTAATATTGATGCTATAGTCGACAAGAGGCTTCGATGCGATTATGATCAAACTTCTGCTCGGAGAGTTTTGGAGCTTTGCAATGAGGTGCACTAGCCGGTCCTCTATCAAAAGACCAACAATAGCAGAAGTCGTATCTGTTTGAGTGAAATATTAGCCATGGTGGAAGAGACATATACAAGTGGCAGCTATCAGTACAATAGTGGCACGAGGGAGACGGAAAAAATGGCCCATAGTTATTCATGAATGTTCCTTTATAATCATGTGATGATTAATCTTGATGATGAACATTCATGAATATGAACTTTATTGAATTGTTGGCAATAGTAGAAGTTTATTGGCATGATTGTCAAAGGTAAATGTTTATTGAAAACACGGTGTATAGTATTTAATGTTGGTGAACAGTTTGTTGGCAATGGGAGCTGGTTAGACCGGGTAGTGGGTACTGGTCAGACCGTAGGTATTCATGCGGTCTAACCGGGGTAGCCCGATGGTCAGATTGGCAAACTCCGAGAAGGAGTCGGTTTCGGATTGTTTTCGTGGAATTTCTAAATTGTTTCATGTTTATAGCTCTAGATGGTTTCTATTCGTATGTGATATTATTTGTGCTGATATGAGTTAAGTTGGTACGAACTTGTACTTAGATATGGAATTTCTTTGTTGTTCATGTGCAGGTGTTGCTTGAGGACATAGGAGTATAGCCGGTGATGGGTCGGGATTAGGTTTAAGAGAAGTTAAGGTCAAGACGGTCAAGGATACTCAAGCTAAGTAACAATGCACGTGGAGATAAAGGTTTCCTTATGGCATACATGTGGTGTTGTGTCCATATGAAAAGATGAGTTAAATGTGGTGTTGTGTCCATATGAAAAGATGAGTTAAATGTGGTGTCGAAATCCAAGTGTAGAAAGATTGGAGTGTAGAGTTATATGGGATGTTGTTTCCCTGATTTGGTAGGTTTCTTATATGATTAGGATTTAGAAGTCATACTTCTAGTTGGATTCATGGCTAGGGGCAACATTGTGGGTATACATAGAAGAGGGGTTGAGGCTAGAAGATATTATTTAGGAGAGAACTATATCTTAACGATCAGATCGACATCTGATGAGCGGTCCAACCGGCAGTGAGCATATAAGCTGAACAAAATCACGCCATCTAAATATGGAACCCAATCAAAGACAGAAAATCGAAGGATGAAAGGTTGGTGTGACTTTTATGTGCCACATATTTGCAATCTTCACCAAATCTCTATTATTATAAAAATTAAAAATGTTTTTGTCGGTACTTTTCGTCATCCGTGTTTGAGTCGGTTTTTAAATTCACCCGCTTTTGAAGATACATATCCGTGTTTAATGTTTAAGTTGGTTTTTAAGTTCGTTCGCTTTTGGAAATACAGGAGGAGTTATATAAGAAATCTCTTTTTTTAAAAAATAAACTCCCATGCTAACTTAAAACGATTAGACTCCTAATTGCAGCTCATGATTTTGTAAAAGAAATAAGTTCAAGCGAATTCCCGCGGTGAATTTCACCTTAGTTAAACCGTATAATAATAAGAAGATTAAAAATAACCTTTTTAACGCACGGACATTTTTTCCATTTATATAAAATGGTCTACATCCTACGATATGATGAAGCGCGGGCAAACTGGCATAGTTTTTAAAACAGTTTTTGACTTTTAATTTTTTATTTATTAGTTATTACTCCATCCGTCTCATAATAATATATTACAGTACTATGAATCTGACTCCACATCAATCTGAATACGAATCTGGACAGGCTCCACATCAACCTAAGTAGGAAGCCTGTCCAAATTCATATTCATAGCACTATGATATTATCAAAATTTCTTATATTATGAGACGTCTTATATTATGGACATCAAAATCTCTTAAATTATAGGATAAAAGGAAGTATAATATCCTTAAATTATGGGACAAAGGATGTATAATATCAGTAGCAAAAAAGCCAACAAAATCATAAATAGAAAAGTAAATTCTAATACCATTAAATGATACTATTCTCATCGAATGTAATTTTGTTACTGAAGTACTCCCTCCGTACTCGTAAAGTAAGTCGTTTACTCCATACTCGTAAAGAAAATCGTTTAGAACAATGTTTAAGTAAAACCTTGGAAATGTAAATCATGAATAACTCTCAAGTTGATGAGTTTGAAAATATAAAACTTAAACTTATATGAATAGATTTATCTTGAAAAATATTAATATTTTCATAAAAATATACATATATCACTTTTAAATAAATATTTTTATAGAAACAAAAGGTTTTAAATAAATATTTTTATAGAAACAAAAGGTTAAAGTTGTATTTTGGAGACATCCTAAACGACTTCTTTACGAGGGAGTATTATAGTACTCAAAATGATTGAAATAGTAGTACTCAAAATGCGTGTGCTCATTTAATTTTACTGGTAATGGTATTTGCCCCTGCCACCCACACCATACAACGAAAAGCTCATTATTATTTCAGAAAATTCAATTGGAGATACATACGAAGCTCTTACTTGAGCGAAAATATATAGGCACAAAGATACACAGATTTCGAATAAAAAGTCTACATCATGTAGTTCTCTTACACGAGGACCAAGCCTATATATATACTTGAAATTACGTTACAGAATATAGAATACAGAATACATTTCTGTTGAAAATAAATTATATAAATAATTTGTACATCTCAAAATGCAAGTTTCACATCAACAGGTCAGACACCCATCCCAGTTCCGGAGCGTCCTCTTCCAGCTCCTGCTGTAACATGTCCGTTTTTGGAGCGACCGATCGCGTCGCCTTCCTCGCATCCATCTGTTGCATTGCAAGGACAATCTGCTTCATGTCCATCGGAGACGGCGGAGGTGAGTCCTCCGACGTCGTGAACGGGGACCTCGGCGAGGGCGTGGCGGCGGCAGCGTCGTCGCCCACGATCCGCAGCTCCTTGTCGTTGTGGGCGAAGAAGCATACCGGGCGAGCGCACAGCATGCCGGAGCGGCACGGCCGCGTGCGGTAGCGCGACGGGTGCAGCCACGTCTCGAAGGTCCCGTGCGCGAACGGGCACCCGGAGCCGCGCGGGCATGCGGCGCGGGCGGCGACGCGGAAGTCCGGGCACGGCTCGCCGGTGTAGGTGACGTGGCTCGGGTCGCGGCGCCGCGCGGCCTCGCCCGGGTGGGCGTACGGGCACGACGTCCACTCGTGCGCCCGCGAGCGAGGGCACCGCCGGACCTTGAACTCGTACATCATGAAGTCCTCGTCGTACGCGCACCGGCCCCCCCACGTCGGCGACGACGCCTCGGCGCCGGCGAGGTGCACCTGCAGCGCGGCTAGAAACTCCGCCGCCGCCGCAAGCTGGTGGTCAGACGACGTCTCGTATGCCATCGATGATCACGGTGGCGTTGGATTAGATGAGGAGACGCGGCTATATGTTGTTTGATGAGCGAGCGCGCGGCGATGCGTTGCCTTTTATAAGCAAGAAGTGACACGAGTCCGTATTCGAGTTGGGTCCGGTCCTGGGTCGGTTGTCCCGGGCGGACACGGACGTACCGGGACGGAAGCTTGGGGCACGTGGAAGGGCTCGGGTGCGGCGGCTTGCATGCTGCGCGACACGTCCCGATCGCCCGCGGGTGGGTGCTTTGCGTTCGGGAGCTGTCTCGCGATCTCGACGGTGTTCCTGGCAGCGCAGCGGGCTGCGGAAGCGAACTGCTTTACTCCTCCATGTATTACGAATTGGATTAATCAACGAGTAAACTATTATCAATTTATCATGCTGCCAAGCTGTTAATTTTAGGGAACTAGCGATGACGATGGTCGCCACGGCGACGGCCGGCTATTAAAAGATACGAGCAGATCAAGCTGCAGTCGGATTATTATTGCACACTTCAATACTTTACGCCAGAAGCACGAACAATTATTTAAGGTAAGCTACGTAAGATCGTAGGTCTGCCGAGAGATAATAATAATACTATTATCCCCCAAGGATTTCACATATTGCCGACGCATGTACAGGACACGCAACCGTATGATCCGTATTTCTCTGGTTTGCTGGGCTTGGGCCAACAATATACTGCGGCCCTGGTTTCCAACTTTCGATCTCGATTTGGCCCAGCAAACACGGCCAGGAACAGGCATGGCGAAGCAAAGAAGGGGAGGCAAATTAAAGGGAGACGGCGACGGCAACCGACAGATCGACGCGACGACGTCCATCCGCGCTCGCCTCGCCATCAATCCAGGCCAACCAGCTCGTGCGCGTATTTCTTGGTGCGACATTGCCATCCGCCCACTGGGTTTTCTCCCCCATCATGTGGTCGCCGCTATATATCATATCAACGGCCGATCGGTCGACACAGAGGCGAGATCCACGCGAATCTCAATGATCTACGTATTAAGCAGCAGGTGTTTGCGTCGCCAGTGACGCGGCAACCACCGTTAGAGGAAGTTTAACAGTATAGCCTACTACTAGCTCCAATTCATTTATAGCCGATCTAATAGCTAATTTATACAATAGTTGCTTACTATATATTAATATATAGTCTCACCTATCATACACACATTGCGTCTTGGAGTCTGTGCTACAGCTAGCTACAGATCTGTAGCCCGCTGCTCTTCTCTCTCATTTTTTATCTTATTAAAATATGTTTATAGCTGACTAATAGCAGGCCTGCTCTTACGGCAAGCGAACACTGTAATAAGATGCAGAGCAATTCGAACATTGCGGAAATGTGGCGCTAATGATTGTACTTGTGCTCAAAACAAGGCATGAGGATAGAATGTAAGCAACCACTGATAAGCTTTACAGCCTTATCCCCGCAGAGACTTGCAGTGCACGGACAGCAATCTGGCCTGCTCAAAAAGAAGCGAAAACAATACAGTTGTTTATCGGCGAATGCCAAGAATCAAACATCTGTATACTCTTCACTGAAAAGGGAAGGAATGATTTACTTATCTCCTCAAAGAATGCAAAATTTTATTCCATGGAGAAACATGAATTGCCTCAGAGGGGAAAAAAATCATGTAAAAGAGATAATTACATGTAAAGAATGGCCAAAAAATTGTTAATGATCTTGTGCTGAACATGTTTACAAATCTCTTCGGCTTCTCCAGCTAGCTTGGCTCATCTCGTCACTACAATCTCGGCTGCCGAATTCTCTCAGCTGGAACAATCTAATTTCTTCGGACTGTGGTTCTAAGAATACTTCACTGCGGCCAGGTTGAAGGCCATTGTTCAAGTTAGAGTCTGCTAAACTATCTAGTGCTCTAACCACCTGAGAGATGCAAAGGAAACATCACATTTTGGTCTTTGGGTGTCATTAGTTCATAAATGAATTTGGGTGTGTTCATTACCTGCCCCATCCGCGGTCTCATTGCTGCAGAATGACGAATGCATGCAGCTGCAGCTCCTATCATATGATACATCTCATTTTCATCAAACCTGTTTTCCATCCTTGGATCAGGGAGGTCACCAAATTCTCGATGTTCAATTGCCTTGAGGAGAAGGGGCCGAGCCTGAAAATTTTCAACATGAATTAGGTTTGCTTTAAGATCACAACACTGGTAAATTAATCCCAGTCCAAATGCTTCAAACTCATGATGAAAATTAGAAGTCCATATAGGTTCACACGGGTACGGTAATGACATTACTATTTGTGTTATTGTTCATATTAGATGGACCAGCATATTTTATGTTCACATTATACAACGCAAAAAGCTATCATGAAACCCTTCAGACCAGATAATAACCAGAAGGAATGTCCTATACTTAGGTGTCACTTGTGCACTGCATCAATTCCTTTATGATTGCTATGCAACTATCTAAATAGGTACATGATAATTGGTGTCTTTCTCTCTGTCCTTCAAATCGCTCAAGTCCTTGCCGAAGTTCTCTAGCTTCTTTCATGACTCATCACAGCTTATGGTTGTAACACTGCATTAAATAAGTCTCTGCTTTTTGTGTGCCACTCTGGAAGAATAATCAGGCTGCCTACTTTTGTAAAAGCTCCAACCCCTGGAACTTTTAGCTAACTTGGCTCTCTCCATATCATTTCCTCAGACAACATATTACGAAAGTGGGGCCAACGAAAGGACTAACAGATTACAGCTGCTAGAAGTATATTGGCAACATTGTAAATAAAAGAATTGAAAGGTTGATTGGTTTTTAAGAGAAAAGGCAAACTAATTACATGCCACCAGGGCTTACGAAGTTGCATATACCAGAACCTACAAATCTGGGTATTTCACCTCAACAGGTATAGTGATCAGCACTGTGGAACAGAAAATCAGCAACCAAATCATTAAGCAGATTATATAGACCTATAGGGAATGTCTTGTTTATATATTACATTTTAATCTCATTAAAATTAATGCAGGTGGAACACTCAATCCTGTCATTTTTAGAAAATCTCAATCAAACAAACACATGCTAAAAATCTGAATATATGCATAACTAGGACCTAACTGAGTCAAATAGAATGTTCAGAATATTTTTTTAAACTCACCCACTCAACAAGGCTCTCATCTCCCAGTGGCTGGGAAGCATCAACAGGTTTTCTTCCTGTAATAAGCTCCAAAAGAACGACTCCAAAAGAATATACATCAGATTTTGCAGTCAACTTGCCAGACAACGCATACTCTGGAGCCAAATACCTGCAGAGGGCATACTACATTTGTTAATCAAAATTATATTTTTAGATCAGATATTAGCCATAAAATTCCGGAGAACTGCGAGACTTTCGCTATACTCGCAAGTTCACATACCCAAATGTACCCATGACACGTGTCGTGACATGCGTATTGGAGTCAGCTGCTAGCCTTGCAAGTCCAAAATCAGAAACCTGGCATTGTTGGAGAGGGGAAATTAGAAGAAAAAAAAAGAATATAGAATCACATTAAAGTGTCTGGCGATGGAGGTCATACACCAAGTAATAGCATACCTGAGCTTCGAAGTTGTCATCCAATAAAATATTGGATGATTTAATATCTCTATGTATAATCCGAGGATGACCTGATGAACAAAGCAGGGCAATACTAAGAAAACAATCCTATTTGAGGGAAATGGATTAGTTTAACAAAGGAAAGTAGTATTACAGTCTTCATGCAGATAAGCAATTCCACGGGCTGCTCCGGCCGAAATCTTAACCCTTGTTCGCCAATCAAGAACTGCCGCTTCACTTACTGCAATTTCATGGGCATGTTTAGTGATCAGTTAAGAAAACTCAGCCTCAGTGAAGCTAGAAATAAATTTAAAAAAAATCAAGGCTACTAGAACTGATAAAAGATTCTTACCATGGAGATGGTAATAAAGCGTATTGTTTGGAACAAAATCATAAACAAGCATCCGCTGGCCATCTGCTATGCAGTAGCCTACTAGTGAAACCAAATGTCTATGATGTACTCTGCTGATAGTATCAACTTCGGCCTTGAACTCACGTTCTCCTTGCCCATTCCCAATTTTGAGCTTCTTGACAGCCACAAGGCGATTGTCTGGCAAGATGCCCTTGTAAACACACCCAAATCCACCTTCTCCCAAAAGGTTTTGCTCTGCAAAGCCATTTGTGAATTCTGCCAAATTTTCTGGGGTGAATAGCATCCTAGAGTACCCAATGGCAGAATCAGCTGGTGAATATGGATACCCATGGCTCCCCGCACTGAACAACCTGACCGGATGATATCCAGGTGATATGAAAAATGCATCTGACAGTACAAACAATTGGCATCAAGTTCGATGGATAAAATTAGGATCCACACATATAGTTGTACACTAAAACACTTCGATGCTCAAGTTTTGTACCTGACGTTAGCGAGGATCCACCGGAAGAGGGAAAGTAGTTTGGCGGTGGCGGCGGAGCTGGCTGCTGCGTCGGCAGTGATGCAGGAGGCTCTATCCGCCGGCGCTTCTTCTTGACGAACCAAATTGTAGCGCCGACAAAGCTGAGCATGGCAAGCCCGGCAAGTGCTACAATTGTGGTGGCTGCCTCCCTCGATATCTCGATGTTCTTGCCGGCGCCACTTGATGCGCGGGTCGAATTCGAATGCGACCTCGCAGATGACCGCGGCACGTAATGTGGCTTGATGTGATTACGCGGCGGCGGTGGAGAGGCGATTCTTGGTGGGGGAGGAGGCGGATAGACTACAGCAGCAGGCACTGGAGCTGGAGCGGGCGACGACGACGGTGGGTGAAATGGAGGTGGCGATGGCGGCGAGAAGGTCTGAGGCGGAGGTGGGGGGAGAGACGGCGGCGGGGGTGATGGGTACACGCGGGGCTGGACGTGCGGCTGGTCAGTTGTCATCGGCGGCGGCGGCGCTTGCACCTCCACATGGGGCGGCGACGGGGGTGGGGACGGCGGCGGAGACGGCGGGAGCGATGGGGGAGGAGCGTCCGGCGGCGGCGGCGACAATGCCGGCGGCGGCGATGACGGAAACGACTCTGGCGGAGAGGAGACCGGAGGTGGGCTACTCACCGGCGAAGCTGACGTCGCCGGAGGCCAAGAATGGTACGACGCGGAGACCGGCGGCGGCGAGGAGGAGGAAGACGAGTACGGGCAGGCCGGCGGGCGCGGCGCCGGCTGCGGCTGCGGCTGGCCATACTCCCCCATCGGCGCGGCGTACGCCGACAAGGCCATCTTCGGAGGCAGGAAGGGATCCGCGTAGGCTCCGACCATCCCCATCCCCACCACCAACCTCCTCAAGAATCTCCACGGCAGCGAAGCGTGGACGCGCAGTAGGCAGGGGATCTGCAGCTCCCCGCCGACGGCCAGATCTCCCACCCGGCTGCCCCCAATCAGCAGCCGCCCACCGAACTGCCGCAATGGAGCCTTCCACCCACCACCCGCCCCGGCGGCTCCCGACAGCGAACGGGCAACGCGCCTCGGAGATCCAAATCCCCAGATCACGGCGAGCTTGACCCCAGCCCAATGGGCACAACGCCGGCGCCTGACCAAGAAGCCGCAGCAGCCACAGAGCTCCTCCTCAGCGCCCTCGAGCGCCGCGAGATCCCAGCCCCAGCGCCGGCGAGCGATCGATCGATCTCTCCCGCCCAATGCAATGCAGCAGCCACCGCCCCACCTCTCGGCTCACCTCACCACGCCGAGCTGCTCATCCCCCTTCCCCTCTCCTGCCTTGGTGTCCGTGGCTGGACAGTAGAGCAGGAGTAGTAGTATAATTTTCCTCTCTCTCTCTCTCTCTTTTCCTGAGAAGAAAAAAAAAACGTTGTTTTCTTTGGTGGTGCGTGCGAGGGGTTGGTGCGAAGTCTATGGGAGATAGCTGGACTGAGGAGAGCGAGCAGTACAGCAGGCAGCGTACAGTATCGGGAGTTGAGTTGAGTTGAGGAGAGGAGGGAGAAAAACTTCAAAGGAACACAAAAAAAAAAAACTACTCGTATTTCTCGTTGCATGGGTTGTCGCTAGTGGCTCCACGCCCACCAGGTCACCACCACTGGGCTCGCCGCCCCGTCTCGCCCCGCGGTGCGGGCGATGGAAACCGGAAAAGTGAGTGGAAATGCTGCTGCGCGAGCGCTGAGTGTGCAGCGCGCGGTCGCCGAGCCACCGCGCCTCGGCCTCGGGGCCGTGTACGCGCGGGGCGCCGGCTATTGTATTCGCGGTTCGCTGGCTGGAGCAGACCGAGCGGCGGAACGGAAAGGCAAGTTGGGGTTTGTTTGCGCCCGGGAGCTGCCGATGCCATCCTGTAGCGCGCCGGAAGAGGAGTAATTTACTGCGTACGATGACGAGGGTAAACATCGGGGTTTGCACTTTGGGAGAGGGTGAACTATTGGACTGATGGTCGTGGCTACGTAGGTGGATTAATTCATATAGAAGTTAAAAATGCTAAAAATGTTTTCGGATTTTGGGTGGTTTTAATGGTGAGCTTGGATTTTTGTGGTGCTTTTGTTCGTCACTTGCACAGTAAATCTTTCGCTTTCGACATGGCACACGATACTACTAGTCAGTCAATGTTGTAGTAAAAGATAGAAACGGAGTTCGAACGGATGGAGTACAGTCTAACAATTAATCGGATTACGGAAGGTAGTCGGAATTATACGGATATTTGACATTCACGTTAGTATTAATATCTTAATAATACTCTCTTCATTCCATAACGTAAAACGCTCATGTATTTCAAAATTTAACATTTAAAACATTTGACCAACACTTAGTATAATATAAAATGAATTTTCTTTGTTAAAAATTATATCATTAGATTGAGATTTAAATTTACTTTCATATAGCTATAATTTTGTTGCTATATACCTTATAGTATATGGAAAAAATAAGCTAAAGATTAGTTTTGGAAACCGTGTCAACTTTAACCACGTCTTATATTATGGAATAGAGAGAGTAACTTGTTGTGATTCTCGAGATATTTAACACACTATTATCAAAATAATAAAATATACTCTTGTGATTATACTCGTAGAACTATAATTTTGTTAGTAACTTATATGCTATGGAAGGGTTGATTGTCATATTGTAGGCTACTTTCCCCGTTTTATAATGTAAAACTTTCTAGTATTGCCCACATTTATATAGATGTTAATGAATCTAAACGTATATATGTGTCTAGATTCATTAACTTCTATATTAATATGGGCAATGCTAGAAAGTTTTACAATATGAAACAGAGGGAGAACTTACCATTTGAATCAATGCCCAATTAGGCTTAATTACAACAAGTAATAATCGGTTAAATTGGACAATAAGTGGATGATTGCATGATAGTAAATAACTAATTAAGTGTACTAGACAGCCAATTTAGCGATCGATTCGGCCGAGATTTACTACACTGAAGTAGTAATCTAATCGGATATGATATATTTTAATAATATAAATTTATATATGTGCCTTATTTAATATTAGATTGCTATATTTTAATATGAAAGTAGTAGTGTTTTCTCTCAAAGATTAAGAACCAAGAAAAACACTAGGATGCCACTTATTAAATGATGAGGAGTGGTTTAGAAGTGTGAGTATAGTTAGAGCAAGTTTAATATAGTTAACTACTAGTTACAAATCATATATAACTAATTTAATAGTCAATTCGTATAATAGTTATCTATAAATATATATATATACTACACTATTAATATATGGTCTTACCTTTTAGACACACAGCGTCTTGAAGTCCATGCATACTACATATGGCTATAAATTTGTAGCACACTTCTCTTCTCTTTTCTCTTCTCCACATGTACTTATAGCGGACTTATAGATTTGCTATTGTACTTGCTTTTAAGAGTAAGTTTGATAGTAGAGCTCACTCCTAACTATTAGTCCATATTAAAGCCAACATATATAATAATTAATTATAAGATTGGTTTTAGTTTTTCTTTTTTTTAAGGAAAAGCACCGTAGGGGAAGCCTTCATAGTTAAATAATCTTACTAAAAATTATCACTTGTGCATTTAATATATTTGTTTTGGAGTACGTATGTGTAGAGCTAGCTTTTGCATGAGAGTCAACACGTTTCTTTTTTGTTTTTTCTCTTCTTACATAAGCTTATAGTGGCTTATGTCGACGTCTGATGTCGCGGTTCTGGTATTTACATGGTATAGGGATCATCGGTGCTAGGGTATACGCGAGACTGAGGTAAAAGAGACGGAGACAGGGATTTTTATACAGGTTCGGGCCCCTGAACGGTCAAGTAATAACCCTACATCCTATTGGCCGAAGCCGGTATTGCTCTTATTCATGATAATCACACCAGTACAATATTTGGGATAGCCTATCTAACTGTTGTCGACATGGCGGTCTGACGATCTGACTCGTAGTCGACAACAGGGTAGCCTTCTACCTCGAATCCGTGCCCGGCGAGATCAGAGATAGCGCTTTCGTCTCTCCTGACAGGATCCGGAGACACCGTAGGGTACTAGCCGTGCTTATCCCTGAAGTCGATATCCGGCGGCGTGTCTTGGCGTATGTAGGCTTCTATGTTATGGCTTCTATGTCGATTGTGTTGGGTGTTGATTTAGGTGCTCGTGTGTTGATTGTCCGTGTCTATGTTCTCTCCCCTCTCCTCCTAGGGGGCCTTGTATTTATACCCATAGGTGTCCCCTTGTCCAAGTAGAATTAAGGAAACCAATATGGATACAATCCGAGCAGTTCTTGTCGTTTCCATGTAGAACTCAGGTTATCTTTCCTTATCCGGAACTCCCTCCATATCTGAAGTCAGTTTCCGTATAAGACATGGTATATGGTGGGTTCTGTCGAGATGTAGTCGCCTACTATTAGATATGTGGTATCCATAACCCTGACAGCTTATATCCTTCCTCTCTGAGAAACGCCCAGAGATCTTCCGACATGTGTAGAGCTATCTCTTGCATGAGAGCAAATATTTTTTTGGGTTGTTTTTTGTTTTTTATCTTTACATAAAATTTTTAATTTTTTCTCTTTTATTTGTGTTATATTAGGTCATTCCCTAATATTCACGTTTTTTTATAGTAAAGTCCATCACCGTTCCCTAAACTTGTAACAATGTGTCATCCTGGTCCCTAAACTCGCAAATCGACCATTCAGGTCCTCAAACTTGTTCGATTGTGTCATCTCGGTCCCTAAACTTGCAGATCACTCGTTTAGGTCCTCCAACTTATTCAGTTGTGTCACCCCGGTCCTTAAACAGGACGGTATAAAAACTTTATATCAAAAAATAATTCATAACGTTTTCACGTGAACTCTAATGATGACAAACTTTATGTCAAAATTGTAGCCCTCGACGCGACCTACAACTTTGTAGTTGAAAAGTTTTTGAATTAAAACTGTTTAGGGTCCCAAAATATTGTTGCATGTTTCTAGATTTTGATATTTTAATTTTAAAATTACATTTTGGGACAAAAAATGACTTAAAATAAAAAAATTCAACTACAAAGTTGTAGATCGTGTCGAGGGCTACAAGTTTGATATAAAGTTTATCTTCATTAGAGTTCACATGAAAAAGTTATGAATTATTTTTAAATATAAATTCTTTGGACCGTCCTACTTGACCCAGATGATATTTAAATCCAAGTTTAGGGACCAGGGTGACACAACTGAACAAATTGGAGGACCTAAACGAGTGGTCTGCAAGTTTAGGGACCGGGATGACACAGTCGAACAAGTTTGAGGAACTAAACGGTCGATTTGCGAGTTTAGGGACCAGGATGACACAACGGTACAAGTTTAGGGACCGGTGATGGATTTTACTCTTTTTTTTATTATCCTTACTCTAGGAGTAAAAGTAGATAAAAAAAATTAAATCATAGGTGGTTGGTGGAGAGAATATACTCTACCATCTTTATATTTTTAGAGAGAGTTTTAAACACTGGAAGTTATTATAATTCGGGAAAGAGAAAGTACACGGTAGTTAGGCTTGACTGCCATTATTTTCCCTCAAAGTATTTGAACAGTAATTTTGAAGAACTTTTGATGATAAATATATTTAGAAGAACTTTTTATGATAGCATCACTTCCTAAAATCCTATAATATTCAATCGCGACCCTTCTAGGATGATAAGTAAGGAGGAATGCGTTTTTACAACATTGCACCTTCTTGTTGAAATATATATGTCTGTGTCACTGTGTAGTTGCAAGCAATTTTTTGATACATGTACAATATGTTCTAGCTACTCCCTCTGTTTCACAATGTAAGTCATTCTAATATTTTCCACATTCATATTAATATTAATAAATTTAGACATATATATCTATATAGATTCATTAACATCTATATTAATGTAGAAAATACTAGAATGACTTAAATTGTGAAACGGAAGAATTACAACTTTAACCCGTCATGGCAGAAGTAGTTCAATAATCGGCCTGGAAAATGTATACTGCTGTAACTTTTTGAAGGCGAATATACTACTGTTACTATTTATCGGTCATATACCGGTTATTATTTTCGAAGGCCAGTATACTTACGAGTCCCAACTTCCAAACCTCTCGTGTAAGTGTGCGAGTGTTTTTGTCTACATTAACACGAGGTTAGGCAAGTCAAACCCTATAAGATAGTACTACCTGTAACAAAGATTCAATTGGAGTTTTGGTCAATGTCAATCAATTCAAGCTGGCCACTGTTAATTTACTCCACAATGCTAATCACAGTAGATTATAATCCCACAAGCATGTTGTAGTAGTTTTTTTTTTCTCTCCATAAGTTCACTTGCATAGGAGCATTACTACTTTCGCGACCGTACGGCATGGTGCGGTCTTAGAGCATTAATAGCTGTCGGCTCCATAATGTCTATAGTCAATTTAATAGCGAATTCATATAATAGTTACTAATAAACATATACTATATAATTAATATCTGGTCTCACCTATCATATACACATGTCTTGTAGTCTGTGCTGCAGCTGGTTACAAATCTGTAGTCCGAT